ACTGTCCTCATCCAAAAAGTTCTGTAGCTCCTACAGATTATCCTAGATTTGCATCATGATCCAGTCTCACTACTCAGTGCCCAATTGCAGGCCCAGAAGCATGGTTCTATGACATACATCTGAATCAGCAAATGCCTGCAGCACCTAGCTATATTCATGTACCATTCACTCCTCCTCAGTTTCCCTAATCACCATCCACCACAAACATCTCTCATGGAGGTATTAGCAAGAAGTTAAAAACATCTGACTGTTTGTGAGCATTTTACAGGCCATTTTCAAATCAAATTAACAAAGTCAGTCCATGGTGTTCACAGAAGAAAAGAACAGTTTGGAAATGTCAGAAGCAATCAGAGGCCATACAGAAGTGCATTTGTGCTGTAACTCAGCTTATTCATACTTAGAACTATTTTGAAACACCAGGCTGCTTTCTGCCCTGCCCTTGAAAATGTGTGAACATTGTACAGAAGTTAGAGCAAAGGTCCCTCAAAACCATCTCCGCATGAAAAGTGTAATGGTGGTTATACCACTTCCTTCTAAAATTCATTAAATGCTATAGAGTGTTTGCTATTTTATGTATACTTTTGCCCCTCTATAAAGAAGTGAATGAACAGAAGTAAATGTTAGGACTTAAAAGGCTAAAGAATACTGTGCTGCAGAAAGATTTGATTCTACCCTGTTTACTAGTGTAGGTCAATCCAATGCATATAACAGTTATAATCAGGCTTTTTAATCTCAAATGAGTTGCAACCACTTACATGGGGTTGCACTTGGCTCAAAGACTTTAAATGCATTACAACCACATTAAAATGAGTTCATTTTATAATTGATGTGCTCATATGTATCCAGCATTCCAGCTGTAATTATGACCTCTGCTTAAGTGGCTCTCCTAAAATTACCATGACAAATTAACTAATAAGAAAATTAATGGGAATAAAGCTGGGAGGCTGGCTTTAAATAAGAGGAAAGATATATTTCTCAAATTGAAAAGTGCATCCATGTTCTTTCCTGCTTGCCTTTATCTCCAACCTGCCCATCACATACTCTCTCAGCACTATCTGGAACATGTATTAAGGAGCTGGAACTGAAAAATTAAATAACTGGAAAAGGACCAAAACCGGAAGCTAGAATCTGATAAAAAAGAATTTGAAGCCTTTTGAATTTGTCTGGGTCGGGGGATTCTAGTTGAATCTGGGGCTGTCCCTGAAATACTCATTCCCATTCTGGATGTAATTTAGAAGCTGCCAGCAGGCCATATGGCATTAGAAAAAAAGTTGATCTCACATCTGGGGATAAAACCTAGTAGGAACTGCTTGTATGAAGCTAAACCTGAGCTCTGGGCATTAGTTTCAAGCTAACAGAGCTAGACTTGAACAGCACCCTTTTTGGGTCATGAAAAACTGGTTAGTGTTAGTGCATAATGAAAAGCTATTTACGGATGTAACTTTTGGGACTGCATCAATTTTTAACTGCATCATTCACTTTCATACTCTTATTATTTCTTTCAGTATAATGGCTCCCGTCCAAGGGAAGAATGGGAAATGTGGCACCCGACGCTCATTGCAGAAGCCCTCTTTGCAATATCCAATATTTTAAGTTCCTTGCGTCTCATATCCCTGTTTACAGCAAATTCCCACCTGGGACCCTTGCAGATCTCTCTGGGGCGCATGCTGCTAGACATTCTCAAATTCCTCTTCATCTACTGCCTGGTGCTTCTGGCTTTTGCCAATGGACTGAACCAGCTTTATTTTTATTATGAGACCAGTGCCTCAGAGGAACCCAACAACTGCAAGGGGATCCGATGTGAGAAACAGAACAATGCCTTCTCCACGTAAGATCCTTCTCCTTTCTGTTTTGCAGACTTATTTTCTTGGTCCCTCCTCTTAACAATCTCCGCACCCCGGCTGCCACTGCAGTGAACCTGTTTTTATTTATTCATATGCAAACATCACACTGGCTGATTGGTTATGTAAGGAAGGGGTGAGTTAACTGGGGCAGGCACTCGGCTGAGCTCTGCTAGTGAATTCAGTCCTTTTAGGTCCAATAAAGGCAGTCAGTCGTAAAGCCGGAGACCATTTCCAGACCTCAAATTCTCTCCCTAGGATGGAGTATACGTGACCTGTGCATTGTTAAGGGAGTTGATGGTAAGAATCATAGAAACTAGAAATTGAAACACTCACTACTGCCAGGTCTTCTAATCCATCACCTTACCAATACAGGTTGTTTTTCCTACATATATGCTGCAGGATATTTTAGTAATGTCCTATACATAGTTTCAGTATCCTTAAGAAAATCATGTGAGCACTCTTGCAGAAGGAATGTTTTTTATCTGATTTGTTAGGGGAAAATGGAGAAAGTATAGCACAAAATAGAAGAAACCAATATACGCAATTAGGAATATGATAATAAATTATAGTAATATAAAATAATATACATTATGGCCATAACAGGCCACCTATTCAATGGATTCAAAGAGCAAAATTGTTATCTCAGTTGGGCATACAACTGACACAAGACATAGCACAAGTGATCCAACTAGTGCAAAAGTCTTATCTCACCTACACTGGATTTATACCCATGTAACATTATTAACCACAATTATTTTATTTCTACTGAACTGAGATGAGATTCACTGAGGTCTCTTGCTGGAAATGCTGGTCCGGTATTGAGGTGCTGAAATACAAATTGCTATGCGGACAGCTGGCATTGATACCAGCACACACTGAAAAATAATTTGAATTGTCTTTTTAGTATATTCATTTTAAATAACAGCAGTAGTAATAATGATAATAATCAGCACCAATCCAATTATACTTGGTACTTTTACAGTACTTAAAATGCAATACAATAAATTGCAATTGTACTTTTACAGTACTTAAAATGCAAAAGTGAATAATTCACAATTCAGTTAACTGCCCACATACAGCAAACAAGAAAAACAAATTATTATCAACCACTTGATACTGAAGCAAATAAAACTCTCACTTATGCCTGCAAACTCTCCCTATATCTTCTGCCCAAATGCTTAAGATTAAGGAAAGGATTTGCAGCAGTTCATAAAGTTATCAGACTGAAGCCGTGGCAAATGTTAAATGTACAAGGGCAAGACAGAGAGCAAACACTCCAGTTTTTCTGCCAATATTTTCCCTTTTAAAAAGCAAAGAATCCTTTACCCTAAAAATCAGTCCTCCCCTGCAAGAAGCAGTAACTCCCTCGTGATAAAGGATTCCTGACTCCATTGACAGGTTGCCGTTCTCCACTGCATACTCTAAAGACATGGCTAAATGACTTAAACCAATATAAACCTGGAGAGAATCAGTGAAGTGAGCAGAATTCCATGCTGTCAGTGAAAATGAAATTAAGGGCTTCCATTTTATCCTAGTTTAAGGAATTTTAATACTGCTAATGATATTTTATATGTGGTGCCGTAGCCAAGCAGTTAAGGCATCTTGCTACAGTTCCATAGTCCTGCTTTGGATTCATGCTACCGGGTGCTCCCAGGTGACCCAGCTGTAAATGGGTACCTCGGCGTTCAGGCTAGAGAGGCAAAAGGAGCCAGATGTGATGCTTGCCATAGTGGTCCTTTAAATACCACTGGCTGCAGAAACCAGTGTGCCTTAAGCACACTAGCCTAATGAGGTGTTAGGCTTGGAAAGTACTTCCACCTGACTTGCAAAATATTTTGTTCTCGCCTTGCATCAGTATTTAACTAGCACTATCTGTGGCGCTGAGCTGATGCTTTCACAGCATCAGCAGTGGGCAGTGTTTAATAAGCGGCAGTCTTTCAGTAGACTGGAGGCATTTAAGTTCAGAACCAGAGCCAGCCACCCGGGGAACTGAGGGGTACTAGTGTGTTTTAATGTCAGATTTTGGATTGGGCCCGTCTCAGTTACAAACCAGTTTGTTTGATTCAAGACCACAATCAGTGGAAGAGCCACTGACGGTTCACTAAAGAAACAGAACATGAGGTCATAAGGGAAAAAAGTGATTTTGAAGTTTCTAAGGGGGTGTAACACACAATGGGGAGTTAAAAATGATATAAAATTACTTAGCAGAAAGTGTACAGATCAACTTGACAAAGCCCTTGAAAAGCAGACCACTTGTTCTCCCCCATTGCCATGCATTTACCATTCATGCCAGTGAGACTGCAGCACAAAAGGAAATTTGTGGGGGCTCAGCCTGTAAGGACAGAGGCTTGTTTAAAACAAAATAGCAGTGGGAGGGGAAGAACATTAGGACCGTGGTCTCTTGGCAGGGGGCAGAATACATTGCGATTGCATTTTTTGTTTGAGCCTCACTTAAGAAGTTTATTCAACATGTTCTCAAAAGTTTAAATAGTCATTACAAACACCCCCAGTGCAAGCTGACATTTCACTCCTCAAGCAGATGCACAGCAGGTGCTATTTGCTAAGAATTGAGCAACCTGCAAAATAGGAAATTATATCTTTGAGTCGGGAAGAATGAGTGAGTGCCATTGGAGTGAATTCAAATCAACCCTAATGTTACCTCAAATTTGCGCCTGTTAATTTCATCCCTAATGGACAAAGGCAGGCAAACAGCTTCCAGCGAGGCCCTTCGATACCTAACAGTGTTACCAGGCAGTCACATAATAAGGCCTCATTTTATAAAAGAAGGAAAACCGGGCTGCTGTTGTTGTTTGTACAGTTTATTTACAATATTTACTGTCACATCACTGCTTATTATTCTCCAAGGATGGGTTTAATATCTTTTGGGAAGGAATTTTCTGCAACACAAGTGCAGCTCCTAGAAAAGTAATATTCCTTTACGACAGTGATGAGATGAAGCCATTAATAATTCAAGGTTTTATGCTTTGGCCTTACCATGCTTGAGAAAGTGGAGTGTGTCTATTGCTAAGGCCAACAATCTGAAAAAATATATTTACTACCAAGGCTCAGGCAACCAAAGGAGGGAAATGGAAAAATGAGAAGAGGAGCAAGTATGAGAGAGAGAAAGAGAGGAATCCAGTTACTGTTTTCTGCAGAATCATTGCTCCTTGAGAGTGACACTAACAACTGGATTGCCATTTTCTCCAAGACACTGCAGTGTAACTACAGGTTAATAGTGTTCCTGAGAGCAAGGCGGGCACTTTCTTTTCCTTCACTGTCTTTAGTGGAAACTTGGGGTTTGGATATTTCTCCCATTCAATTCTCAAAGCTCAAAATCCAGAGATTATCTGACAAGAGGACAGAATCTCTCTGTCTTTTTAAAGATGCCTGTCTAAAGCTCCTTCAAAAATGCTTCATTATGGGCATGGATTTTCAGTTCTGATCCATTGACACACACTTGTGGGAGGCATACGGATGGACTGCGAAAGGCAGAGGAGAGAATAATTAAATCTTGTCTTCATGCAAAGTTGCAGAACCCAGTTTCTGTCTTTTTCCTGTAGAGCCTGCATTACACACCCCTTATCCATACCAAGGAGCTTCTTACTCCATGAGTAGCCCAGTCCATGGCACTGTTGGGAGAGTAAGGCTCCTGTCGGCAATACGAAGGGCTCACAATTTGGCTCCCAGGATAGAAACAGGGCATCAGCAATGCCTGCCTTTGCTTAGACACATTAGCTGCAAATAACCTAATGGGG